CTAATTTTAAATACTCTCCCTTGGTTAAGAGAGAAGTGAGGGGGGGCAGCAGGTGTCATGGTGGTTAAGGCACTGACTGCTGCACGGCCAACTCTGGTTAGAATCCTGGACCCATGGCTTGAAAACCACGCTGGGCATGTATGTCTGCATGCCCAAATCCTGAGAAGAGAATGAGGAAAGGGGATTGTGTCACGGCTGTCTCTCTTGGATGGTGATTTCTCATTTTCCCTTTCTCTGTCTCTCTCCAGCAAATATACACACCCTATGACCAAAACCTTAAAAGAGAGAGAGACAAGAACAGTATCAGTGTATACAAGAGTATACAATGATTTCTGCTGGGTAATATCTGTAGAGGACTCTGTGACTCTGTAGTTTGTAAGTTATCTTCTCACATTGTATCCTGATGTTAACTAATTTTATGCTGATATTAATAAGCTTTTACTATTTCTCAGATGAGAAACTAATGCTTAGAGATGCTACGTAGTTTGTTTCAGTTTATCCAAGAAATAAACACATTTTCTGTTCAAATCTCTTCTCACTCTTAAAACAGTTCAGTCTTTTCCCACGATATCACTATTAAGTGGTGTTCTTAGGTTGGGAAGATACTCTACTGTGGAGAAATGGGACACGAAAATGGAACGTCTGAAGAGGAGACCCTAATGTAAACTATAGACTCTAGTTAATAAGAAGTTAATATCGGCTTATCAATTGTGTATCAACAATATCTCACTGTAACAAAAAAAAATAAAATAAACCACACTGAAAGTAAGACATCAATAATACTAATTGTGTGTGGGGGGGAGAGTCATAGCTTATACATGAATTTTCTGTACTTTCTGCCCAACTTTTCTCTTAAATTTTATCAGTAATTTAAAGAAAATTCCATTATGTGGGAATGTGTGGGTTTACCAGTTCAGACTCATTCTTCCTTTGCAGAGCAGTAATTAGAGAGTTGAAAGAAATCCAGCAACAAAACACAGGTGCAGAGAGATCTCTCCTGGTGAACCCAGTCCCCAGGTCTGGTAAAGCTATGCTTATGAAATCACAGCAAAGGAAGAAATAAGATAGAAGATTCAGACTCTTAAGAAAAATACATAATAATCTCCCTCCTCAAGGGTGACGAGTCAAATTTTACGTGCTGGATTTGATCATAGTAATGTTTTGTGATGTTTTCTAATTTTCAACACACTTTCACTTACTGAGTTCCTAATCATACATATTATTTCACCTGCCACCAATTGCCAATCAAGTTTGATGCTCTAGAACTTTTTAAAAAATAATGATTTAATTTTATTTATTATTATTGTTGTATGTTATTATTTTTTAATTTCACCACAGACAGTGAAAGAGAGAGGGAAGGTGAGAAAGCAAGCCACCAGATCCAGGACTCCACAGGTGAGATACAATTCAGCCTTGTGGGGACCACAGCACCTTAGCCACCAGGCCACTTGCCAGCCAAACTCTGGGACATTTTGTAACGTAGGTCATTGCAATAATCATTGACCTCATTCCCCCTTACTCAGGATTAGAAGTTGTCTTGATGATGGAGGCTGAGAGACTTAATAAATTGAGTACCATTGGATCATAGTCTTAGGACAACCATCATTGACCTCATTTCCCCTCTTACTCAGGATTAGAAGTTGTCTTGATGATGGAGGCTGAGAGACTTAATAAATTGAGTACCATTGGATCATAGTCTTAGGACAACCATCATTGACCTCATTTCCCCTCTTACTCAGGATTAGAAGTTGTCTTGATGATGGAGGCTGAGAGACTTAATAAATTGAGTACCATTGGATCATAGTCTTAGGACTAGAAAGGACTATGGACATCACCCACAGATTTTCATGTGTTACAAGCAGACCTGCAGTGCCTTACCTAACTAGATGGACAAACGTGATAGAGATGAGATTGCATTACTCATCCCTCTTCACCCATCTAGCTCTGGGGGAATCTGAATACTCCCAAAATAAGACTCTCACAGCCACCCACCCCTAAGTTAATCAATTCTTTTTATATACTCTCCTAAATCAGTCTTTTGCTTTTCATTCCTGATGCTAAAATGTCAAAGCATGTTCTTATCATCCATACCTTTCCTATCCCCATCATTTTCCTGAAGATTTCTGCTCTTTCTCAACACCACGGCACCCTGTTTAGAGTGCCATATCAGTCTTTCTAACAATGGGCTTTAACATGGCATTCTGTGTAAAATGTAAGACCAGGGGCTGGCAGGTGGTGTGGTGGTCAAGGTGCTGGACTCCTACATGGCTGACTGTGGTTCAAATCCCAGACCTCGTGGCTTGCTTTCTCATTTTCTCTCTCTCTTGTCAAATATTTAAATGAATGAAATTAAATAAATAATTCATATATATGTATATATATATTACATACACACACATATATATGTGTATGTATATATACATATGTACACACACACACACACACACACAGAACACACCTTTCAACAAACCATTTAAGAGACTCGACAGCTTTCTTTCTTCCCACCTCCCTATAACCTTGAACCAATAACAACTCGAACTATTCTACTCTGGCTCTCCATTTCTCAGCAAACCACACACCACCTGTCCTTCATACCTGTCTTCACCCTGTCCTGGAAAAGCTCTCCAATTGAACAGGCGTGCAACCATTTCCTCAAGCCCAGACAGTTTTCCTTTCCCTACAAAGCCTGCCCTGACTGGCACAGATGTGCTCTCTCACCACTGACTCCCAGAAGCACTTAAGCCTGCCCTGACTGGCACAGATGGGGCTCTCCCACCCCTGACTCCCAGAAGCACTTCTTGCCTGTGGCATTCATTGGGGATTTTGCGTAAATATCCTGCAGCTTTATTTTATTTATAATTTATTTATTTTACTTGAATTAGATCAGGTTCCTTGAAAGTAGGGACCCTGTGTTGCTCATTTCCAGTGGCGCTGCACGGAGCAATGTCCAATGAGAGCTTATTAATGACGATCACGTCAGCTTCCCACACAACTTCACAGGACTCAACACGTTTCAGTCTTGCCAAGTTATGGGAAAACTCTTTCACCTATTCCAAAAATAGTGTATTTTAATGTTAGTGACACTTTCATTAAAGCAGCGTCCTCTGGGACATGATCCAAAATGCCAAATGCAACATTTGGCATTATACAGTTAACTTCTGTCAACATCTTTCTTGTAAAGAAAGACAATCGCTTGAGATTTCCCCCTTGTATATTTGAAGAGAATTCTCATAATGGGAACAAGTTGAGGAGTGAGTCTGATGTGACTAGCATCTCTAAAGGCTGTTTAGCATTTTAAAAATTGAACTTTCTTCACTACATGCTCTTTTCTACAATGTAATTAACAATTTTATTCCTTCTCTATGTAATTGTGGTTACAAATAATCAAACCCCTTTTCTATTTCTTAAAACATCTTTTTGCACCCAATTCTTACTTTGAATGTTTCCCCTCATAAAAAAGATGTACTTACAAGGATTGAGATCAGAAAATCTACGGTCATGTAATTAAAAAAAAAAATTGTCATCAACCATTTTTAGAAATGTGAATTCTCTACCAAGAGAAGATTATTTGTTATTAGTTCATAGACAAAATAAAATTCATGACAGTCCTCTAGGGGAAAAGGACAGTCAGATAGATTGAAATGAAGCTGTTTAACCTATTTACACTGTTCGACATAGACGTAAACAGAAAGAGGCAAGGAGAAGAGCGGCAGGTGTATTCCTCCCATAATTACAGTAATTTGCTTGAATGCCAAAATATTGAACCATGAGGTTTCAGTGTTACTTTGTAACAGGCGTTAGAGTGTTGTAAGAATCAACATTTTAGGTCTGGTACAGTTGAACAGAATAGGAGCTATGCTGTAATCATAGGGGGGGAAATCACTTGTTTATTCATTGTTAATTCAGAGGCAGACAAATATTTACTTTTCTGCTCAAAAGGCATGATAAAGTAAATTGAGCCCATAAATATTACTGAAGGTGTAGTAAAAAGTTTCCTTGATAAATCACTCAGAGGCTATCTAGTGCAAGTACAAGGGAAGGCAAATAGGGCAAGTTTATCATCTCATAATCCACAAAAATATTCTTGGGGTAGGAGATTTTTTGTAAGCTTTGTTCTCTTTGTGCCAGTGGGCACACAGAGGAAGACAAAGAAGGGGTGAGGGAGAGAGCACTCCCTACTGGGGCGTGGTCGTGCTGTAGTGCCCACCCCCCCCCCAACTGCTCCATCCTGTTGGGATTTAATTTGGAGGCCAGCATTCACGTGCGCTCTTGTATGCTTTTCAAACTGCCAGGGTTGGGATTTGAACTGCAGTCAGTCATGTGGGATCCAGAACCCTTAACCACTGGGCTAAGACCATGTTGTACTTGTTCCGCCCTCTGAATGCTAAATCTAACTCCCTTCCCATAATGCAATTGGTTCAAACATTTTCGGAACGCATTCTATTGTGTCTCTCCTAACGAATATTCCTAATTCTTTGGCTATTTCATGACCTGAGTTCCTCTATCTGCAAGGCTTACACCTATTTAAGCCCCTCATAAAATGCAGCTTCATAAGTAAACACAGAACTCTAGCTGTGGTCTTGCTAGGACAAAATAGCATGGACCTACCTCCCGATCTGTTCAAGAAAGGGTATTTCTTTCAGTGCAACCTCTAACCCCATTCATTTTTCAGTGAGAAAGCGTATCTCTTTAGTGCAACCTCTAACCCCATTCATTTTTCAGTTGACAACTCATGTTTGACTCACTGAAATGAACGTGAACGTGCTGTGGTCATTTCCTGTACGCTGCTGCTAAACCGAGTTCCCTTCACTCTTACTTCTGCTGCTGTGCTTCCCTTGGGGGAGGGAGGGACGATGGTCCTTACGTTGCAGGTTTAACAACTACATTACGAGTTTTTGTTTTACATGTTCTGTACATAGAAGGTACACATTCTGAAAGTAAAACACAAACATTTAATTGAGGGTAGAAAGAAAATATAAAATTTGAGACACGTCTCCTACCTATAAAAGCCTGGGGGTACCTGTGGCACCAGGAAGCTTTTTTCCACATCTTGGAGAATGTCATTCAACATCCGGACCCGGAGGGGCGCTCTCTCCTTGGGGTCATTAGCGGGGCGCATTTCATCCGACTGAAAGAGTTCAGCACTCTCTCGTAGGTGCGATGCCATGGCCAGCAGTTGATGGGGACTGGACGGATCACCTGGTAAAGGTAAATGAGTGCGTCTCAGAAAACCCATTCTCAAAGGAGCAAGATAAATATTTTACAATTGGTAACCTAAGCTGTCAACTAGACAGACCCCTGAGGACTGAGATGGTCACTGGCAGTTGTCTTCTTTCCAACATTTGAAAATCCAAGAGTGTAAGTATTTGAATCTTACCTGTCACAAGAAAAAAGGTTCTGCATCTATTAAACTTAGATAATGTATTCATCCTGCCCAAGTATTCTGTCTAAACTTCCTATAGTCATGAAATCAAGTTTATCACAACACGAATCACAGTGAGGGGTGTTGAGAGGTTGCTGTGTCCCAGGCACTGTGTTGAGGGCTTAACATAATTATGCCATTTGATATTCCCAATCTTGCTTTACCATGTGCATTTTATAACTGAGAATTAATTAAGGTAAACAAAGTAGTAGAGGTTATCAAGAAAATAGTAACTGGCCAGGAAAGGGAAGCCTGGTCTTCCTAACTCAAAGATTCATGCTCACCATGCAATATCTTATATCCCAGGAAAAAATAAAAGGAAAAGGAATTGTTACCTTCCCTTCTAAGAACATGAGATCAGCTACTGTATGTCACTGTGAGTCTACTGGGCTCTGTGCACCGGGGTTTTTCTGTAATAGTGAGTGGTACTACACCTTTGACTTAAATATTCACTGAAAACTATCCTGTGTAGTATCTGCATAGCTTTGTTTTTCTTTTGAGATGATTGTTTTGCTTCTTTGAATTTGTGTAGTTTACTGGAAGTCATTCTGATATGCACTGTGGTAGCAAAGGCTTGCAGGATACTGTTTTGACTAAAAGAAAGATAACATTTGTGCAGCAGACTGCGGAGCCTGGATGGTGCACTGTGCTCAAATCCCTGCTCTACCACTAGTGTCTATGTGATTATTGGAAGTCACTGCATCAGCGTCTTCACCTAGCAAATGGATATCATAAAAGGAACTTTTTCATTTGTTATGCAGAGTAAAAGATTAAGCTTGTAAAATATTTCCCCATAGATAAGCAATCCTCAGTTCATATGATTTGAGACCTTGTTTAAAAATTGTTCTTTTATTTTATCATAAGAGGCGAATTTCCTATCATCTTCTTCCAAATACTCTCAGTAAAATCGGCCTTAAGGTGACACAAGAGCTAGTGGTGTCATTCTCAGAATAGGTACAGCTGACTTCAGTGGGATCAGTACATCACTGCAGAGGGTTACTTTCAGTCGAGGTAGTAAATGAATGAGGTGCAGACTATGTAATGACTAAATATGATACTGAGACAGGCAGTGGGAGGACCAAAGAACACCTTACCTCTTTCACTAAAGAGCAAGTGTTTACCTTTTACCATTTGCTTCTAAAGAAAAGGAAAAGAAATAATATAAAGAGTAAAAGAACTAAACTGCCAACCTTTAAAAATTACTCTTTTAGGTACACTAGAGGGATACTTGGGCAAAGAAAAAGATCGAAAAAGACTTTCTTCAAATAAAGCTTAAGGGTTACCAGACCACAAAACACCTGATCTCTGTGAAAAATGCAGATTCTTAGACCTGCTGAATCTCCCTAGGGATAAAGAACATTAACCTTTATTTTACTACAATAATTAGCATATTCTAAGTATTTTAAAGTTCAAGAAACACTACACGATCATTGTGGAGGTTAAGGCAGCTGGATGCAACATGGCCGACAGCACTGGCTTCAAGTCCCAGCCCTGGCAGCCTGGAAATCACACCAGGCACAGGTGCATGTGCACCCAAAATTCTGAGAAAAGAATGGAGGAGAAAGACTGTGGCTTGGCCATCTCCCTGAGCGGTGATTTGCCGCTTTTCCTCTCTCTTTCTCTCTCTCTTTGTGTCTCTCCCTCTCTGGAGATAACATGTGCCCAACAGCAAAACCAAAACCCAAAACACAAACAAACACTATAGACAGACGATATGCTAAGAAAAGGAAAACTAGGTTTGATATACAGCTGATCTATAAAATATATCTTCATAGAATGGCCAACCTCTAAGATAATAATCTTGTTTCTCAATTCATTTGTTGTATGCTATTTTACATGTCAATTTCTATAGAGCCCAGAACAGTACTGACAGTAATCACTTACTAAATAAACACAGTAGATTCAATAGAATATGTTTAGAATAAAGTCCAATAACAAAATAAAATTAAGTAAAGAGATAAGTTTTATTAGTGCTCTAAAGAGATTCACCAGTAGGCATTCTTTGAGTATTCTAAGATAATGTAAAAACGTAATATTCTAAGAGAATGTAACAATCACATTCTCAAAGAATGTAATAATAATTCTAAGGGAATGTAATATAAATACTATATATACCTATATATATCTATAATCTATATATAATCTATAATCTATGTATTATATTCTATAATATAGATATAATCCAGTTAAATATTGTGGTAGAAGGATAAATAATAATTGAAGCTAATCTGTAGCTCCATGTTCATTGAAATGAACCCTATGGATAAAATCCATTGTAAGAATCAAAGGTTTGGGGATTTGCTATTTTCAAAGTGTTTTCCACATGTAACAATAATCTTGTTTGATTTCACAAAGCTTGAGGTTGCAAGAGGAGGTATGTTTATTTACTTTGAAAATCTAACCCCCAAATAATTTACACAATGCCATTTTATAAACATATGATTCATCTTAAATTATGATACTTAACCAAAGATAATTCATAGTGAACTTAGAGGGAGTATCTTTGCACAAGGAAAAACTAAGATGGATAAGGTACATTTAGATTATGCTGAAATTGAAAGACTGAAGAACAGAAAAAACAAGTTCGACATCCTTGAGAATCTTCCATTTAAGGAAGAAAAATCTGGCCTGATCTAGCGTACACTGCAGAATTGAAGACGTTACTCCGGAATCAAGTGAGACAAATTGTACTCTTCTACCTTATTTAGCTTTAGAGGAATTTATCTCTCATGGTGGTGCACATTGGGGAATTGACAGCTTTAGGTACTGGCTAGTTCCAGAAAAGACCTTGACAGTGGGAAACTGCCACCCACAACCTACTGTGCGCATCACTTTCAGAGTTACAAATGGCAAAGAAACTATCTTCAACATTCACTCAGTCACTTTGATACATAAACGGTGCTCTAAAGATTCCCTACAGTCATTTCTCTACCAATTAGAAGCTATGTGCCCCTTAAATAAGACCTAGAAAGAAATGTCATGTAGTCTGTAAGTTTTTGTGACCCCAAGTGATAGACCCTTCATGGTCTTTAGGAGCATGACAAGAATGTCAGCTCTGAGGGAAAAGATTTTTTTGTCTTGTTTGTTTACTCCCATTTCTGCACCTAAAACATATCAGACACACCACTGAATTGATGAATGACTGGATTGCATGCTTTTACTATCGCTTCATAGCATCTATAATATTTTTCCTTAACCGTTTTTGTCTCTCTTCTCTTCTTGACTGAAAAGAACCCAACAAGACATGCAAATAGGTTTGATTTGTCTTTGCGTTTTCAGACCCTGGCACACTTCGTGTTCTCGTGTCACCAAAGCAACATGGCAAAGCCCAGGTTCACGTCCCGATGTCTTTCTGTACAAGCTGCCATGTGCACCTGGGCCCTTACCCCGAACGGCTGAGCTTGGGGGCAGGCTGCACTGTGAAGACCCAGTTGAAGGTTCTCTCTGTCTTCCTCTACCAGGAAAGAAAGACACTTGAGAACCAATTTGTAATTTGTTGGCCTGCCTCTGGGGAGCAGGGGTAATTCACTGATGAAGAGAAGCTGGAACCCTCATGGCGACTGTAGTTGGAACCCTGAGAAGTGTCAGCCTGGGGCATGCCTGGACGTGGACAGTGCCTGGGATACAGTGAGCAGGATAGCGGGGGAAGGGGTTCTTGGTGTGACCAGATCCTGTGGAGGGTGCTCGTCTCTGTCAGCTCTGTGTGCATGCTCACACTCTACCATGAATAATAAAAATAAACAGCAAATTGTTGAGTGGATGCTGACCTACTATACAAGGTGATGTCTTCCTGGAGACGAACTATTACATTAATGTCTACAAAATCACTCAGGGAGCCTTTGTGGTGCATACTAGCCATCAACCAATGCTACTTCCTGTAATTTACTGATAAAAAAATAATGATAATACAATTACAAGTAAAAAGAAAAAGTATCGTAAAGTAAAAGAGGCTAGATAAGTTAAACCAATGAAGTAAAACATGCCCTACAAATAATCCATGAAAACTAACAATGCGTAAAATCTTACTTGAGGCACAACGAGTCAGAAAACAGAGGGCAAATTGAGGCCGATAGTTTAGGTTTCAAAGTCAGTAAGTTCATTTGATCAAAAAAAAAAAACAAAAACTGGAAACTAGAAATGTCTATGAGAGGATTA